CCGTGTTTGCCTTGCATCTTGTAACTTATCTGTTGAGGATGTACTACGAAACCTGTTACACTCACTAGGTCTATATGCATTACTAGACATCATGGAGTCTTCTCGATATCCACCTCTCTGAGGCTTATTCGTCATCAATGATTGTGTTTTACCCTCAGACTGCTCTATTCTAGGGGTGAGATCTAACAGACTGGAAAACTTGCTCATAGATTGATTAACACTAGTATTTACCAGTTTCAGGATATCATCAAACTTTGGCTCGATACCCTCATCCTCCATACGGGAGCTTATCTTCACCCACTTCCTTTGCAGTCGGGTAGGTAGACGTCTTGCTATTACTTCTAGGATAAAACTCGAGTTGAGGTCACTCATTCGATTCATCGAAATCATTCCATTCTTGTAAATTAGCAAATTATCTAAAAACTCAGTGAGTGCCTGAGAGTCATCCTGTAATTGACCACCATTACCCTCAACAGCCTCGAATAATTTCCCTGCAATCATCGAAGGTCTTCCAAACCTTTGGCGTAATATGCTCATAGCCTCATCGTAGCCCTCCTTTGGCTTCATAAACTTACAACACTGTATAGCTCTTGCAGCATCTCCAGTGCAATATCTCATCAAATACATCAATTTCAATTCATCATTTAATAAAAAACCACTCAACATGATCTCAAACTCCTTTACAAATTGTAAATAATCAGCCGGGTTTCCATCAAAACACCGTGGTTCTAATTTAGGGAGTTTGATGTTCCTATTATCCCTGAACGGCGAAACAGTAACATCAACCATATCGCGTTTAACATCAGACACATCGTTACAATTAACAGACAAGTCACCATGACTTACTTTCCTGTTTGCATCCAAGACACTCTGTCCCTTCTTTGACCCAGGCATTGTTGAACTTGACCCAATTCCAAAAAAGTTCCAGATATTGCTTGTTCAAAGAGGACTTGACCGGCACCAGGAAAGATGAACGGTGACTATCCAAACTTTCACCAACTGTTTGAATCCGCCAGATCTGTTTCTATCGTCAGAAACTGTCATCAAAGTCTCATAAACCGTTAATGCCCAGCTCTCGCTACGCTCGGGCCCACGCTGTTCTTAGAAGATTTCTGAGAAACGCTTAGTAACAACGGACGAAAAAACCAGAACACCAATTGTTGACTTGAGTATTATGTATTGTTACACCAGCATATAAATCAAGTATCACTAAGCAAACTAAGAAAACTAAGGTCTGTAAACAAATATTACAATAATAAATCGTTATGTTACTTCTGACGATATTTAACTCTTCTTTCTGAACAGCGACCGATGAGACGATGACTGTCGTATTGATGCCTCCGCGAAAATCGAGGAAGTTGATTTTGAGCAAACAACCAAGAATTGATCGTTCAATCTTCAACTCCATTGACAACATATGTAAAGATGGTTGCGCTGAGACGCAATTATATCACTCATGAAGAAATTTAAATCATTTCACTTCATGCTAAATATTGCGCTGAAGATGTTGTCCGGAAGGACGACGAGAAAACCCCAGCTAAACCAACCGGCTCAGAGAACACTATCGATTGCTTATAACCGTTGTCTCTCACCTATATTTCTCTCCATCAGAATTGTTTGGACACCAGTTTTACAGGGGATTGGGTTCGTTGCTTTTTACTTTGATTAACCATAACTATTGGAAATGAGAGTTAGTGGTCACAGGTACGGAGGATGCATAGTACTTGTGCAAGTACTACAAAAAGATAGATTTTAAGCAACGAATCACGTAAAAATGTAACGCGAAGGTTGAAAGCACCGCGTTCCGGCCGCTTCATTCTACCTAGGACTCCCATGCAGGTTTGACTCCACACCGTTTTCAAGTTGTCCCAGTGCTTTTCGACGCCGACCTCTTCGCTGGTGTTGATTTGTGCCTCGGCTTTGTCCCTTATGTTTGCAACGAACATGTCCTTTGTGGCCTGGTCCTTCAGTTTTTGAGTGTTGAACTTGGCTTGTGGTCTGTCTGAAGCTCCTCCTTCTCTGAAAGCTTTTAGTTTGATTTGGATTGTCCCTTGTACAAGATAGTGGTCCGAGCCAACGTCTGCTCCTCTTCTTACTTTTGTGTCCAGTAGGCTGCGCCTCCACTTCATTGAGATTGAGATGAAGTCAATTTGGTTTTTGGTTCGCTCATCTGGTGACACCCATGTAGCCTTGTGGATATCTTTGTGTTTGTATACGCTGCCACCAATCACTGGTTCATTGAAGGCGCAGAAGTCGGCGAAGAGTCCTCCATTTTCGTTCACTTCTCCGAGAGCTTCTCTACACATGATGAGTTCCCTTCCTGTGTTGTCTGGTCCCAGTTTGGCGTTCATGTCTCCCATTAGTATTTTAATGTAACCAGCTGGAGTATTGTCCATTGTTGCCTTCAGTTGTCGGTGGAATTCTTCTCTGAGCTGGTTGGTATGGTTGCGGTTTTCTCGTCGTCCTTCTGGACAACATCTTCAACGCAATATTTAGCATAAGGTGAAATGATTTGAATTTCTTCATGAGTGATATAATTGCGCCTCCCCACCATTTGTCATTGTAAATGGTCAAATATCCACATTATTCATTCTCATTCAAAAAGTCAAATGGAAGCTGAAATGGTGAGAGAAAAAAGAAGACAAACAACAGCAACGCAAAAGAAAGCAACGGGAGTCCTTAAGGAGTGATTAATAAATATATACATATATATTCTGTTTAGTAACTGTGGTTATTTTGGTACACAAACTAACTAGTCCCGTTATGCTAACTTTTATATTATGTGTGAACTAATATTACTGTCCTGTGTAGAAATGTTAATCATCTAGTTCCAATAATATTAAAATTTATAATTGTAGTTTGCTGTAACTACACGTTTAAACAACTTAAAATATCTATGTGGGGTGAAAAAGAGGGTGTAAGAGTCAGACGTATAAGTGCATTGTCATCTTTGAGCAGTCTGGTGACTGAGGAGATGAACACTGGAAGTGTGTTTGCATCGCGCACATTAGCTGGTAGTCTATTCCAAATGACTGAAAACTTATTTAAGAAGAAGTTGTACCGCACGTAAGTCTGACAGTGCTCCATAGCAGCTAGGTTGTGATGATTTCTAAGATTGTAACTGATGACAGCGGTAGGTTTAGTTACTGGCTCGGAGGAATGCAAGAGAAGATTACTTAGCTTGTAGTAAAAGATAAGGTTTAGCTTAAGGCGTCTTTTCCAGAGGGGTTCTAATCTTAGTCTTACGCATCGCTCATGGTATTCCAGACCACTTTCTAAACCAAGAGTTCTTGAAGTAAACTGCCGTTGCACTCCCTCTAATTTAAGCTTGTCATTTTGTCTTAGTCCGCTAAGAATAAACGTGCAGTATTCTAAGATAGGTCGGACACATACTTTGTATAATAAAACCCTAGTTTCACAACAAAAGAAATTGCGCGTTATGCATCCTATCAGCCTTCGCGTTTTACGTCTGGCATAATCAGTCTGTTCAGCGAACGTTAGGTTACTAGAGTATCTAATACCGAGATCTACGACTGAATTGAGCTTAGCTAGTTTTCGCCCATTTATTTCAAGGTTTAGATCAAGCTTACTGTTGCCGATACAAATCCAGCCGCATTTGTCAATGTTAAAATTTAGACAGGATTCAGCACACCACATTGCAAGGCTACTTAGTTCAAGATGTATTTTGGTAACCATATCGCTTAATTCATGAGTGTAGCAGGAGTAGACGACTTTGAGGTCGTCAGCATATAGGAATGGTTTACCTGAGGTGAAGCACTTGCAAATGCTGTTAATGTAGACTGTGAATAAAAGTGGACCTAGGACACTACCTTGCACGACCCCACTTGAGATCTGCCTAGGATGAGACAATACAGATCCAACTTTGGTTATTTGTACCCTGTTGCTTAGAAATGATTTTAACCAGTTCAGTAATGGGTTGCGAATTCCACAAGAGTACAGCTTCTCAAAGAGAATACTGTGAGATACCATGTCAAATGCCCTAGATATATCGAAGTATAGAACAACGACTAGCTTACGTGCTTCGCGATTACTAGTGATGCAGTTGAAAAAGTCGAAGTGGCAAGTAACGCAGGATCTATTTTTGAGAAATCCGTGTTGAGACCTTGTAACAAGATCTTCCCTAATTAGGTAGTCTGACAATTGATCTTTTACAACTTTCTCCATGATTCGTGAGATAACTGGGGTTATATTTATGGGTCTGTAATTGCGGACGTTTGCCCTATCACCAGATTTGTAATGTGGAATTATGAAGCTAGTTTTCCACTCACTAGGGTAAGTGCCAGTGTCCATAGATATTGAGAAGAATTTAAGAAGTAACAGGGGTATATCACACCGACTGTTTTTGAAAATTATCGAAGCGAGGCCATCCGGTCCCGTACTAGTGGAAGGTTTAAGGCTTTTAATTGCTTCTACTATTAGTTGATTAGTGAACACAATGCTTTCAAGGGAAGAGATAGTAAGGGGAGCGGTTTCGCCAGGCATATGTGTTTCTAAACTAAAGTTTGCAAACCAATCACTGAACAGTTCACAGATAGTGGCAGGTTCATTGTAGATTACTTTGTCGTGAAGTAAGTATGGGATTTCCCTCGCTGACTGCATTCGTTTTTTAAGAAGTGCCGTTAAGTTATAAACCTTGGAGGTACTTTTAAGTGCCGTTAACTCTTCGTCGAGGTCCTTTTGAGAACGTAGGCGCTTGATAGATTCAAGAGACTCGTGGATTGAGAGCAATAGTGATATGTCCTTAGTGGAATAGTACTGTTTCTTCAGTTTCCTTAACTTATTACGGTGTGCCTGATTTCCCATAAACTGGAAGATATGCAAATGAAAAGTAACAAGTTGGCAGAAGAAGCATCAAAGATAGGACTTCACGTGAACATAGATAAAACAGAGGTGATGAAGATTCCTTGCCAACATCAACAGCAACAACAGACCACAATAAGCATAAATGGGAAGAACCTGAAAGAAACAACCTCCTTCACCTACCTGGGAAGCATCGTCTCAACTACAGGCGGAACTGACGAAGACATCAAAGCCAGAATCGGAAAAGCAAGACAAGCTTTCATTACTCTCAAATCTGTGTGGAGGTCAACAGCAATCAGCATCAAAAATAAGATCCGGATTTTCAACTCCAATGTGAAGTCAGTGCTACTATACGGATCAGAGACTTGGCGAGTCATAAAGAGCATCTCAAACAAACTTCAAACCTTCATTAACAACTGTCTCCGCTCAATACTCAAGATCAGATGGCCAGAAAAGATCAGCAACAGGGATCTCTGGGAGCGAACCAATCAGGAACCGATTGTGAAACAAATAGGCAGAAAGAAATGGAGATGGATTGGCCATACGCTGAGGAAACCAACAAGTGACATCACTAGACAAGCCCTCGAGTGGAACCCGAAAGGGAGGCGGCGAGTTGGTCGTCCAAGGGTGACTTGGAGGAGGTCATGTGAAGAGGAGATGAAAGCATGTGGGCAGACCTGGAGCAGGGTGAAAAAGTTGTCAGAAAACCGAAGTCAATGGAGGTGCGCAGCTGAAGCCCTATGTTCCTCTAGGAACTAAAGGATACAATAATAATAATAATTACGGTGTGCCCTTGGAATATATTCAGTTCGGTGTCTACTTAATTTCACTATTTTATTTGGGGCAACTGTATCTAGACAGAGGGTAACATTCCTGTAAAACAGGGTTACTAAGGCCTCCAGGGAGTCAGTGGTAAAATAGTCATCCCATTGACAGAGTCGAATAAGTTCTTGGACTAATCCCCAGTCTGTATATTTGTAACTACGACATATTGTGCTTCCTGAGTCTTGTTTGTTTCCTGTATTTAGTGGTGAGAAAGGCAGAGAGCAGAGTACCATTCTATGGTCACTACTGGAAAATCTATTACCAACATAAGTGGATACTGGGATTGTGTCATGACAAAAAACAAGGTCCAAAATGTTGTCCCCACGAGTAGGTGTCTGGACGTGTTGTTGCCATCCATAACAGTCGATAGTGGCAAGTAATTCGTCGAAGCGTTGGGGGCCGGAACTAGTTAGCCAATTGACTTCTGGAAGATTGAAGTCCCCTGCAATTATTTTGTAATTAGCACTAAACGAGGATGCGTGTGCAAACGATTTAGCTAATAACGCATCAGTTTCTTTTGTTGCGCTTGGTGCTCGATAAACACAGCCTATGAGAAGTTTGTACTTATCTCCATGTAAGACAACCCAGAGTGAGTCAGGTACATTATTCATTGTTTCATCTTCCACCTTACTGACTACAAATGAGTTATGTATATATATGAGACATCCTCCACCACGCTTGCAATCTCTGTTTGCACGGTGTACAGTGTAATCATCGATACCTATATGCACATCAAGTACTGAGGATGAGCACCATGACTCAGTAATCAGAGCTACAGTAGGCTTGGCGACTAATAATAATGTCCTTAGTTCAGATATCTTATTGATTAAGGAGCGTGCATTAATTAGCAATATCGTGAATAAGTCACGGGATACTACAAACTGGCTTAAAATGTCACCATAACCTAAATCTATTTGTGCGTCAGCACCGCAAGAATTTATGAATGAAAAGGAGGTCGGACTGGGTGTCTGCACATCGGAGTTGGTGTGCAATGAGGTGGTCCTAGGTGCCATGGGTCGTACCAGTGATTCAGGACACCTGGAAAATTTACCATGTGTTCCTGGATATAAGGGTAGTACAGGTTGGGCCTAGGTTGACGGTTAAAAGGCATAGCATCAGAAGGTCTACCCATCCAACTGCTATTCGTCATACCGGTACACACCTTCGGGTTGTTTTTATAACTTAAAGGGAATTGTGAAGGAAGGTGCTTTGGCTGCAAGACTTTAGGAGTCTTGGAGCCTGACTTTCTATAAGGTGGAGCATGCGGAAAACCTCCAGATGTACTTATGTTTCGAGAAGAGTTTTTCGTAACAAGTGATGGTTTGTTGACATTCTTACTCTCAGCAGGCTTATTGAATACAAAGTATTCTTCCCCATCATTAGTCTCAACCCTGCGAAATTTGTTCATCGTGGTGAGGTTACTACGTTTGGGGGGAAATTTCTTAGAACAACTTGCAGAAGTTCTAGTCATTTTAACATCTTTCGATGAGGCTTTGTTTACAGGGGTACTGGTATCTAAATCAGTTCCTAGTTCCATTGGCAAGCGTGGTTGTTGTGTAGTTTGCTGAATGCTAGTTTCAGCACTAGGTGTCTGTTGCTGTGCACGATCCTTTTTAGGTAAATCTAAGCTAGAGGAGGTGACCAGGTTATTACTACGCATTATTCTGCGCTGACACGGTGTTTTATCCTGAGCTACGGTTATAGACTTATAACTGCTATTCAGTCTTAAGTGATCCTGACATTTAGTAAACTTACTAGCATCAAGGGAATTACTGAATTTAAAAATGATTGGGCAATTAGCCTGGTTAGACTTTTTACGAAGTCGTTTGCATTCACATGGAACACTAGCCATGCCGCAACAAATCAGGATTTTGTGTCTTACAGTTTTCAGGGGCAGAGAATCTGGGACGTTGTAAACTATAGCTTGGTGAGAAGAGGTTATACGCTTCATCACCTCCGTAGCCAAGCAGTCAATCAGATTTTCAGCTTTATTTAGGTTGTCTGGAGATATTTTAGGATGCCTTTCTAAAAGACAGGCTATTGGGTCTAAACCCGAAAGCTTGTTTTGAGTTACATCCAGTAAACACTTAACCTGGCCAATATCACAACGGCTCTCCGTGGTATTTGAGATTGGCAGTGACATACTATCAAACTGATCTAATTTTTTCTGAATTTCACTTACTTGCCTCTGCATATCTTTCAAAAGGAGGTTTAGTTTACAGAACTCAGAGTTCTCTAACAGAACATCTTTCACCTGTATCACAGGAGTGAGATCTGCACTCAAACCATTTTGAGAGCTAGTAGTTGATACTGTATTACGAGGCGCTAATGCAGTTATAACCGAATTTAAGCCACTATCTAAAACAATTGTGTTTCTACGAACACGTTTTTTAGAGATTTGGACCATAATTTCAAGAATTATATGACAATAAGCAGTAAATAAATTTCAGAGCAAACACGTGCAAAAATGTCACCGATTTCGAATGCTAAATATTGCGCTGAAGATGTTGTCCAGAAGGACGACGAGAAAACCCCAGCTAAACCAACCGGCTCAGAGAACACTATCGATTGCTTATAACCGTTGTCTCTCACCTACATTTCTCTCCATCAGAATTGTTTGGACACCAGTTTTACAGGGGATTGGGTTCGTTGCTTTTTACTTTGATTAACCATAACTATTGGAAATGAGAGTTAGTGGTCACAGGTATGGAGGATGCATAGTACTTGTGCAAGTACTACAAAAAGATAGATTTTAAGCAACGAATCACGTAAAAATGTAACGCGAACGTTGAAAGCACCGCGTTCCGGCCGCTTCATTCTACCTAGGACTCCCATGCAGGTTTGACTCCACACCGTTTTCAAGTTGTCCCAGTGCTTTTCGACGCCGACCTCTTCGCTGGTGTTGATTTGTGCCTCGGCTTTGTCCCTTATGTTTGCAACGAACATGTCCTTTGTGGCCTGGTCCTTCAGTTTTTGAGTGTTGAACTTGGCTCGTGGTCTGTCTGAAGCTCCTCCTTCTCTGAAAGCTTTTAGTTTGATTTGGATTGTCCCTTGTACAAGATAGTGGTCCGAGCCAACGTCTGCTCCTCTTCTTACTTTTGTGTCCAGTAGGCTGCGCCTCCACTTCATTGAGATTGAGATGAAGTCAATTTGGTTTTTGGTTCGCTCATCTGGTGACACCCATGTAGCCTTGTGGATATCTTTGTGTTTGTATACGCTGCCACCAATCACTGGTTCATTGAAGGCGCAGAAGTCGGCGAAGAGTCCTCCATTTTCGTTCACTTCTCCGAGAGCTTCTCTACACATGATGAGTTCCCTTCCTGTGTTGTCTGGTCCCAGTTTGGCGTTCATGTCTCCCATTAGTATTTTAATGTAACCAGCTGGAGTATTGTCCATTGTTGCCTTCAGTTGTCGGTGGAATTCTTCTCTGAGCTGGTTGGTATGGTTGCGGTTTTCTCGTCGCCCTTCTGGACAACATCTTCAACGCAATATTTAGCATAAGCTGAAATGATTTGAATTTCTTCATGAGTGATATAATTGCGCCTCCCCTCAACCATCTTTGCATTTGTATTGACGCTTTCCTATTGACTTGGATTTTAAACTTTCTGGTCACCTGGTCAATACATATGTCATCAAAGTCTCATAAACCGTTATTGCCCAGCTCTCGCTACGCTCGGGCCCACGCTGTTCTTAGAAGATTTCTGAGAAACGCTTAGTAACAACGGACGAAAAAACCAGAACACCAATTGTTGACTTGAGTATTATGTATTGTTACACCAGCATATAAATCAAGTATCACTAAGCAAACTAAGAAAACTAAGGTCTGTAAACAAATATTACAATAATAAATCGTTATGTTACTTCTGACGATATTTAAATCTTCTTTCTGAACAGCGACCGATGAGACCATGACTGTCGTATTGATGCCTCCGCGAAAATCGAGGAAGTTGATTTTGAGCAAACAACCAAGAATTGATCGTTCAATCTTCAACTCCATTGACACTCCCCGGCAAAAAAGGGATCCAACCCTTTTTTCCTTCACGACCAATGCACGTCGACTTGGATACCATTGCGAGAACCTGGGTCACACGGACAGAGCTGAAATGGAAAACAAACAGGAAAGCCAACACACCACAAGCATACCCACAGCACAATCTCACACATCGCTGACGACCTGCGCCTCCAGACAGAGACCTCCTCTTGACATCTTGCAACACAATCGCCACTTACTAGAATGACTCTTGCAGAATGCAACGTGACCATAGCAGCACCTCATGATACTCTTCAAGCATCCTCTTTTCTATTCACTATCAATTATCACTGAAATCGCTTTTCACTCATTCTGCCTCAGTTCTAGTAGCGGTGACGCATGCGAGCCTCAGTCGTTTACACTCTTTCTCCCCGGCGTGTCGGACCGCAGCTAACAATTATCTCCGTGTGCATTTCATTCTCAGCAATAGCCTAGCCTCCCCGGCGTATACGACCCATCTGCTGTCCTTAACATCAATCAATTCATTCACGAACGTAGAAGACTAGAAACAACTTCAGAAGTAATCACGACGAAAATTTTAACAAAATTATGCAATAACAACAAGACACGAAAACAACGAGTAAACACAATGAATTCAAATAACACCAATTGATATGACACACCAAACGTATATACAAACAGTACACACAAACTCGCATTTCATGTCTTGATGGAATACCCTTGAAGAATTGCAGGACTTACACCAGTACGCCTACAACCCTTCACAGGTTGACGATTGTAAGTTGTGGAATGTCCAGACACAAACAAGATTAACCA